GGGTGAGTTTTTTGGAGGATACCCTTTCTGGATGTTTAAAGGACCATTAGAGGAAACCACCCCCTTTTCCTTGGGGGGGGTTATTAAAACACATGCCCGCATGGTTGGAATCTTGGACGTTTGGCAAACCCCAAATATTTGCCCCTCATGAGTGTGGCGGGAACGGTAATCCGGAGACACGCGTACCCTCCGACAAGCTTACTACCCTGAAGCGTGCGCCGAATCTGCGTGGCCCCCCATTCTCATAAAGTTGGACACAATGACAACCGTTTCCTCTGGGTCGCTTTGCAGAAACCTGCCACAACTCGGACCCAGTGTCGTTCCCGTTCTTGGAGCCGCCACCAATTGATTCATCCCTCACCTTCCCTCCAAGACCAGAGCAATGATATAAGGAAGCCAAAGAAAACCATTGCGATGTGGACTGGTACACGTTTCTCGAGCTGCGCCCTCCACATATCAGAACTCGTTGAACTCTTCGGAATTCCGCTCGAAAGCGCGTCAGATCGTGGGGAAAGCGGCTAGAGCCTCTTGGAAATAGGTCTCTGAAACATAGCAATCCATCCCTTGCTATTTGTCCTGGTAAATCAAGCATGCTGGTTCACCCAGCCAATCAAGGGAATGGTAAGCAATGCTCTGATGGCGGGAGGACCACAATTCCCAATCCCCCCCAAATGGGAAAGGAATATTGAGCATCTCTCCGATGCAAGTTCAGATCTCGAGGGAAAAGCGTTGAATTAAAAACTTTGCGCCGTCCGCATCACTTGTGCTTAGGTCACATGTTGGTTAAAGTTGGCTACAGTTTCTTGCATCCCGTTTCTCTGAACTTTGGACCATCTTGTTTTGATCTACGCTTCCAGAATCATGACACATAACATGCCCATTCTCCAACCTTGTTTCGCTCGATTTCTTAACAGTACAAACACATGACACATCCACCAGTCAAAACAGTACACCGGGAAACTAACAAACCTGTTTGCGACTGGAAACGCAATGAGGTTTCTCAAGCTTTCATCGCGGAATACCTTCAATCACCTCAGCCGTGCCTCTGCGAAACCTGCAGGAAATACCAAACAAGTTTGGCAACACCCCGTGTTTGGTGCTTTTGGGTGTTATTTCCCACATGGAAGGCCCTAGTTTCTCTCGCGCGTTTGGAACCTTTCTGCATTTTTTTCTCTCCGGTTTGGAGGGCCTCTAGATGGAGCGGCGCAGCCATGGCCGACTTAGCCCGCTCGATCAGAGGTGTTTTTGGCCGCACGGGTACCCGTGTCCTGAAAAAGTGGATGTATAAGGGGTGCTTGCCGAATTTGGGCTGACACATCGGTGTTTGATGTGTGAAGCCCAAGTAGGAGCCAAGATGTGACATGTGATATGCTGTCCTGAGGGTATGGCGTGGTTGAATGGATTCTGCAGCCACATGGGGTCTGCGTCAAGCAAAAGGGCTTGCAACTACAGTAGCAACGTTGAGCTTCCAGGGAACATGGTTCCGGCTGAAGCCTTACTGCTGAATTCCTGCGGCTGCTGCCGTCTTCTCATGGTTACGACCGGGGCGCTGGAGGCCCTTTGCTACGGGATGCCACTGGCACCCACTTCTCGAGCCAAGTGGCAATGGCGTATGAAACCTTACTGGACTTCTTTTTGCGACCCCAGCGAAGACATCAAGGCACTGGGCAAGCCTTTAAAATGGTATGTGGCCGACCTTCGAAAGTCACCTCTTAAGCCATGCCTAAGAGGTAAACCCTGAGGTTAATGGCTTGCTTCTGAACACCGAGAACATGCAAAGCTTGTCACTTGACTGGAAAGCCTGTGGATGAAACCAAATGGGCATTTGCGCTGATTTGTCGGCAAACCTGTGCTGAAACACTCCACCAAACGTCAAGCCGCTTGCGATGTCGTGGGGCCTTCAAACATGTTTGTCCTTGTTGGCTGCCTGGTTACCTCATTTCCTGAGTTTGTCTGAATCATGCGAGTCTGAACTGCTTACTTGCCACCAGCACGAAAGATATCAAGTCCAGAAACTCGGAAAGTGAGCTACAGTGCCGCACTCATAACTCATCACACAAACCTGGTATCCAGAGAGGCATTGAAAGGAAGCACAGGAGCCTAAAGCAATTTCGATTCATGGCCTGGAATGGAATGACTACCTTTTCGGACCTCCAACTCACAAAAAAACCTGGTGTTCGAGGTGAAACATGGATACGTTCCCCATTCTTTCCAGGGACCCCTCTTTCTAGAAGACCTGCGGGAAACCAGGGAACATTTTGAAAAGAACGATGGTTAACAAGAAAAGGGAATCAAACCTAGAACCATGCGCATCACCAGGGTTCGTCAAAACCGGCTCCAGCAATGCGCCCAAAATGCAGCAATGCCTTTGAGCCATGGACAAAGAAGGGAACCCTTTTTGGGTTGGTCATGCTCTTGGGAACCAACTGGAAAACCCAAAGAGAAAACAAAATTGCGGTCAGCCCTAATGTTACTCGAGCTAGCTCTCAACACTGTGCTGAACATGTTTTTGTTTGTCCACCAGAGTTTCCAAGATGCTTACAGAAGAGCAGACAACACAAAAACAGCGAAGGACCTTTTCCCAGGCCAACTGCTTGTGCAAACTTGACAGCTCTTCGGTTGACCCACCCAACTTCAATCAAAGTGGGAAAATCCAAACGAAGCCACACAAAATGCAAGGTTTGCTTCCCCCCCTCCATTCACAAAAATCAGGGTGTTTGCTTCAACCTTTTTCAATTCCTGCTCCCCCGCGGCCGTTTCGGGCCATGGCCCCGTGAAGTGATCCGAACGGGCCCTAAATGAGCCCCGAAAGCTTCAAATGGCAAAGCCGGAGACAGCCCGGCCCGGCGACTCTGGCAAGCGTTCTAGCGACTTAGTGTAGGACCCACCCAACAGAAGGGAAACGATTCGGGGCTAAGCCAGGGGTCAAATGGCACCGACTGAAGAAATCTTGCTATACTGCGACACAACAAACATCCCGAAACACCCCGCACAGCAGAAGTGCCCTTGCCCGCGAAATTACGCATAGTATGTTTTGGACCACACCCTGCATCAGGGATAGCAATCAGAGAATCAGATGGGATACATTTACTGGGGGTAGGAATCGGAAGATGTGCCCGCCCTCCAACGGCAGGTGTTCCATGTGTTCATTCTCATGCACACACAAGCTATCAAATGCCTGGGACATCACAGCAACAGTCAAATTGTGATGCTCCCCCATGATGACAATACCATGTGGCTTGTGTCTTTATGTCACTGATGATGAATTGGTTCGCTGTCCCCTGTGGCACTTGTGCAAGAACGGAGTAATCACAAAATATCGCGACTGTAGCATTTGGTAAAAACCACATTGCTGCTACCAAAGAGCCAAAGTGCATAGAGGTACACGGTCCACACTCTCATAGCCCAAGCTGCAACAAGCGTCGCGAGCAAGGCCTGACCCCTGCGAATTCTCCCGAATTGTCCGTGCACAAAGTCCTCGGCAAGTTCCTCTAACGGGAAGAACCTAGAATTGGAATCATGGCCAACAGCAATAGGCAGAGACAGCATTCCATTCAAATTGTATGCCATCACGGTTTGATACATTGTTGCTCGCCTGCCAAGTATCCCTTTTGGATAGCTGCCTGCTGACGCACTATCTGTGCCTCTAAGCATTCGCCGTCTCCAACATTTCATTCCGAAAAAGCAGGCTGCCCAGAACCGCGGGTTGCCAATTATGCAGGCTGTCTTTGGGATAGGTCAAATTGCCATAAGGGTCTAAATCGTAGAATGGGCACGCGGGGAACTTTGAATCAAATTCAGTCAAGATGACCGCGGTATGCTTGACCCTTATGCCATTTTTTTGGTGGAGGGACTTTGCACGGAAAGCGGCAGCGCGAGATGCTACCTACGATTTGAGCCACGGTCAATATCTGGTGTCCCCTACAAGAAGGTGGTAAGGAATTCCCACTTCATAATGCCAATGAGCTGGTCAGGAGTGCAATGTGATGTCCCCTGTTTCCTGGCAATTTGGCGAATCGGGAAGAACCTGTCATCCTCTGTACAGGATATTTGATGACTTTGACCGCCGCTCAGTTCCATCGACCCCAAATCAATCTCTGCCCAGAGACAGATTCAACACCAGGCGCATGGAGGCTCGCGATAAACAGCAGATTCCTCATTAATATAAAGGTTTTGGGCGTCCATGTCAATCTGCTGGAGTACCTTTGCAATAGCGAACCATTTCAGGCCGTAGAAGTTCAGTATGTCCAATGTCAATTTGATCTTGGACCGACCTGAAGGGCACAGCATCCGAACCAAACATTGGTGCATCTTCGCGCTAACTAGCTTCACGACTTGTGTTGTCACCCGTTAACCTACAGCTTTGGATTTGCGTTATAACTCCCAACTCAGAAGGCGGCAAAACCCTGAGCTACAGCTACAGTGGTCCCCCCCACCTGACACTGGATAGTGGATGGGCGAGTGTTGCTTCTTTGGCCTTGCCTGGCAGGAAGAGGCATGGGTCCTATCTTCACTTCCCAGATGTCACAAACTGAGATAAAGGGTTTACTTTGGAACCTTAAGCTGGGTCTCGTTTGTTATCCCAGAGCTGGCCAGAATCAAATGTTGCGATCAAATAGGAATCGAGGGGGCCAAACCAAATTCCTATTCTGCCAGAATCAGAACATCTACCCAGAACCTTCCTAGGATGAAATGGGCTGGTCGCATCCCTTGGGACTGCCTAACTTTCATCTACCACGGTTTTCACTTGAGGCTTGGACTCCACTCAACCGCTTCCGCCTCAGCTTTCGCTTCCACAGCCCGGTTCTAGGCCCCCCAAGGGCGCGAGATCCTTCCCGGTCTCAGAAAGACGTGGCTTCCAGAGGGCGGAAAGCGGCCAACAAGAAGTGCTTTTTGGTATGCATGGTGGTGGACAACCCTTGTGATAGCCCATCTCACTGTAGAAACAAACTTGGTTGCTTCTTCTTTGCGTTCGGTCAATAACATTGACACTGTATCTAAACAGGGAAGCCAGGCCCTTCTTTCGACACCTACCCACCAGCAAACTAAAAAGATAATGCTCAGCTCAGCTCCTGCGGCAAGGCACCTGCGGAAGGATGCCGAAAAGCTGCTAGAGGCCAAAGGCTTTCACTTTCACCTCTCTGCCTCTGTCGGTGGAAAATCAGGTTTCCTTATGTGAGCGTGTGCTCTTTTAGGGTTGGGAGGTCCCCCATTTTGATACATGTCGCATACACATTTGAAGCCTTTGCACATCGCCCTGCCCTAGCGAAGCCCACTTACATGAACAGCTGAAGGATGATCACTTGTTTTTTGAAAATAACCAAATGAACATGTTTCACGCACCCCTGAAAGATGCCCTGCCACCCACTGACATGGGCATTCAAGGGGGTTTGGGCCAGTGTCCTTTTTCTTTTCAAGAGAGCCAGTGTCCAGTTCCACTGTTCTATGCCTGCACCAGGTTTTAGCATGAATCTGTCCGTGGAGGTGCCTTCCTCAAACCAGACATAGAACCCCGAAATGAAGTCCTGCTTGCTAGGTTGGGTTTCTAGAGTGCATTATGTTCAAAGGCAAAGTGGACATCAAGACACTCAGGAACATGGTTCTTCTCAATCTCGGAGATGTGGCAATGATCCCGATCACCACCTGTTTGTTCTTAAGCTCCAAGAGGATAACATCCCCAAATCAAACTCTGGTTCGGAGAATAATAGGTGCTGGTTTCTGTGCGCACATATGCTAAAGTCCGGTCAAACAAGTGGGGCGAGGGATGTATACTTGGGGGGGCGATTGCCCCCGTGCCGAAGTTATGACTTATAAACGCTTTTTGACTATTGTAAAAACACGCATGTGCAACCAACAAACTCATGTTTACGATCCAACTCAACAGTAGTCAAGGCTGCTTTCCTGTCAGCGCCAACCGTTGGCGAAGCAAGACACTGGCTTGGCTTGATTGCTCCTGACTGCCGTCGTTTGACTGCAAGTAAGCAAAACTTGCAAACTAAAAAAGCCGCAGGGCGAAGACACATACCTGATCTTTGCACATGGGTTCAGGAAAATACGCTTAGAACCCCCCAAAGCCTCAAAATGATTCAAATGTTCAAGGGAAACCTCCAAAGCTCATTTTCAGAACCCTCATTTGTTTCACTTTAGTGGACCCAGGCTACCATCCACCATCCAACTCCGGCAAATCCGGATTCGGTACCTCAGCGCAGCTCGCACAGGCCTCGAGCGAAACGCTTTGGATCGTCCCTTAATAGGGTGGAGCAACTGAAACCTTTTGACTTGACCCCAGGGTTCCATGCATTTCCCCTCAAGACTCAAAACATCACCCCTAAGGGAAACTCAGCATATGTTTGGCCCAACAAGGTGACTTTGAAGACAAACACTCGAATATAAGGACCCCTGCAATAGCCAGACCATTCAGTCATGCTTGGTGGGCTTCGCATCGTGGCGGAAACCGATTTGACCCCCGTTGAAGTCGTCGTCCACGGGCTCTCTGGGTACAAGGTTGTATCTTGAGAACTTGTTTGACCCCGTTTGAAGCTCAGGGTTTCCGGACCAAGTTTATGAACAAATAGCAGAGGCCTTGCTTGGATCACCGAAAGCTCCTTGTGGGCAAACCTACGTCTCTGCGAACACACATGAATCAGGCTGGATTCAGAAAAGCCACCCCATGCAGTTGGATCTTTCGTCCTGCATTGAGTGAGCGGTTCACAAGAGTTCGAAGGGTATTCGACCTGAAAAGCGCAATCATCAACGGGTGCAAGGCAAAGTCCCAGATGGCGTTTGCTGGCCCCAAAGCAACACCGCAGGGGGAAGATGGGGTGTAAAATCTACAATTCATCCACGAAAAAACTGGTGAATGCCCGATTTGCTTGTTGGGGTAGTGGCTCAGGGCAGTGGACTCGCCTGTGACGGGCTGACATGTTTGGGGAGTTCAAGTAAACATAAACATTAAATGTGCGTGCTTGAGTCAGCCCGGCTCAGACAAACAAGGTCAAACGGGTGATTGGCTGTACTAGGCATGGATGACCCAGGGCTCATCGTGACGGCACAAAAAGGGCGCCTACTTCGGAGAATTCGCCTCAAAAAGCTCATGCATGTTAGTCTGTGTGCGCTCACTTTGCGCTTTGGCCCATCTGACAATTTGTTCTCACAACGTATGCGCAACAGGTGTTGCGAAAGCCAATTCCTGGCAGCTTTGCCAAATTTACTGGACACAAGTGCAACTGCGCCCCGCCAACCACACCCCGGGTTTGAGGGATGTTGCCTTTGGACCCAAGAAGTGTAGAGACCCTCTCAGGTTGCTTCATTTCCCCATGCCTTGGCCTTTGCCTCAAAATGAACAATCTCAGATTCTCTCCTCGTATCACTTTGAAGCCTTGCCATGTCAAAAGGGATCTCAGCTTTGGGCCCTTGTCAAACAGGAACACGCCAAAAACGCGGAAAAAACCCATGCCCTGGGCTCAAGACGCCACAGTCCCCGGCATTTTGCAGCCAGTGGAGCAGCTCGAAGGCCCAGTGCCGCTCTTGTGGAGCCTGACGTGTCCATAGGCTACCCTCAACAAAAACCCACTCCCCCAGTGTCGGGCATTCCCAGGCACTATTAATTCAAACCACCCCTTTCGTTCCATGTCAAGAAGACCAGGGGGTGGTTGTTTCCAGGAAAACAGAACCTTTCTGGCCAGTTGGCCAGAGACTGCCTCCGATCTGCCAACGGAAGTGTGACCCTTCAACAGGCAAGTGACATGCCCCCCCCCCTCCATGTCCACCGACAGGCAAGTGTACGCTACATTCGACAAAGTGTCAGAAATGACATTTGAAGCAGCATCAAGAAACGGCAATGCCAATAAAGCTTACAATGACAAGCAGCAGGGCCGAGCAAGCGCAACACATTGAAGCGCCATCAAATGCCATCAATCCACGGGAGGCAAAGACAGGCAAGGAAGGCAACAATCAAGCCAGTGAGCAAGCGAACAGGTGAGAAGCAAGCCAGCAGGTCAAGCAACCAAGCCAACTTGCCAGATTCATACAAGCCTCAGTCAAAGTCGACAAGGAGATTATCCGGCAATACAAACCTGAGCCGATCCCGTACGCCGAAGCGCAGGCGACTCTCAAGTAAGCACCCGCGGATCAAAGCTTAGTTGCCCTTTAGCATGGACCAACATCGGGTTGAAACCAGCAAGTGCGTTTTGACTCAAAATAGAGGAGGAACCCTCTTTCTGATGGCACCTACCATCTTTGGATGTGCCTGCTTCTGGAAAGTTCCGGGTCAAACTCGGTCAAATTGTCGGCATTGGCCAAATGACAGCTTTCTAGCTGTTCCCCCTCCATTCTGGCTCCATGCGCGGCTTTCGAAAAAATGGGGGACAACAAATGGACACTTCTATATAACAAGTCACACACACAATGGTGAAGCACAAGAAAGACCAGGGATGACTTTTGCCTCATCTTTTGATTATTGCAGGGCGGAGGGGGGGACAGTCCTTTCAAGTGGCGCCAATTGAGCTGGTGTTTGAAGCTTTCTGGAAACGCTGCCGCGCGGTTACCAGCTCGCAAAGCAGGCAAGTCAAGGACCAGCTGGGTAAACATGACACTTCGAACAGATCGGCTGTTCACTGTTTGATTGTTTGGCGGCAATTTTTACGACAACCATATTTGCACGCCCGTGTGATGTCAGACGCACGCTGTCCGCTCGACGTGCCTCCCAAGAAAGAAAAGCCGGTTAGGTTACAAGAAAACCCCCCCGCCTCCTCCTTCGCCTTGGGCTCGGTCTCCATGGTCTCCATCTCCACCTCGACGGCGCAGTCGTCAGCCTGGCGCCGTCCAGTTTTTGCCATGGAAATCAACGGGAGGTCTCTCCGACTCCAAAATCAACCCAGACCACCCTGCATCACATGCTGGCCCAGCTTTACAATCAAAGTCACCCCCCTGAGCGGGATGGAGGGAAAATCCAACTCTGACTTTGATACCCCTAACAGTCAAAATAATGAGCCGAGTACTTCCTCGCTCCATATTGAACTAACCTTGAACGTAGCAGCAAAATATCATGTGCTAGAATGGGCCCCAAGCTAAGGTGTTTGACAGAAGGGATGCATACTTTGGATGTGAGTAGAACCCTCTGCATTCATCAGAAGTGTTCCCCAGGGGAAATAATAAACAGTTGGGTGAAATTGCATGCATATGTCCATCAGCTTGGTTTAGTCACACCCTTTGCTTAGAGACATCTACTTCATGGCACATATGAGTTTTCCCTTTGGTGCATCCAAAGGAACCCATGATGGGTGCCTTTCAGAACCCAAAAAGGTAATTGTGTCCTCAGAGAAATGCGAAGCAATCTACACCAGGGTGAACGTAGATTGCATAACTCGGCATAACCCGGGAGGGTGTGCCATCTACATCTAGCCCGGTGTATTTCAGAGGATGGTCCAATGCCAGGTCAGCCCCACCTTGTCCAAAGCTGTGTCCTTGGCCTCAGCCTTGACCTGGGAAGGTTTGAACGGAGGTCTGGGCGCTCTCGGCTGAGTGCCAAACTGAGGCAGTTGGGACAAATGTATTTCAAGAGGAAACCAACATGACGCCAGCCAGTCCCAGATCCGACACTTATCCACAAGACTTGACCCAAGACCAGGACGTAAACGGTCATCCGTAAAAGGTTCGAAGGCCGGCTTTGGCCAAGTAAGTTGGGGATGGTTTTCAAAAGAAATCGCCACAACCATCGTAAAACCAACACATGCCCAAACTCATGGCCAACGACCAAGTCCCAAAGTCGAACCTGGTCTCCATCACATCAATGGAACCCCCAAAGTGAAACGCCTCGTATCTGCTCACTGACCGTTGAACAATGGGCTTCATTGGTAGGTTCATTTCCTCTTTCCGCGCCAGAAACCAAACCAGCAATAAGTGCAGCACTTCAAACACTTGCTTGTGTTCAGTTCAGTAGGGTGTATGCAAATGACCACTTCCAAATAGTAAAGAATGCTTGTAGGGATCAATCCCGGTCGGGCAACTATCATCTTTATCGGGGACCCTTTGGTTGACATCATTTGCACGGATGCATGTCCACCAGCCTTTCAGGGTATTTCACATAACACGCCTTGCCCGGCTTTGCCCTATGGATATATGAGTGTGCCCCGCAGCCATCGCCAGTATGGGGGGCCTTCCAATGGTTGTGGAACAGCCTCTCATTCGCACAAGCAGCTTAGCACTGTAAAGCGCGTTATCACTGCAAGTGCCCCTAAAACCCCAATTCTCCAAAACCAGTGTCTGCTTTTGGTGCAACTTGCACCCCCTCCCAAACCCGCGTGGTTTCCTCCAACTGGGCCATAAGGAGACCGCATCCCCAGTTGCGAAGCGCGCGCTGAACCCTGCACCCTGCCGAGTGGCCACGTCAGCTTCTGGGTCGACGTCCTCGCTGTCCGGCACGGTGCTTGCCAAGCTGTCAAAGCGGTGCTGCAAGTGGGGCGGAAGGATCCTAGCGAGAGTCACCCAACTGCCTCAGGGTTTGTAGACTTGGGACCCCTTGTAACATGTTCAAGCCAGACCATTGTTTAAACAACATCCTTTAGGTGTCCCTTGAAAGGCCTGGTTGGTTAAGCGCATTTTGCCCGACCGTCGTTGAACCCAAAAAGTGGCGTGCCCAAACTTTGGCTTGCCGGTGGTTGGAAACATTCCTTTTGTCCGCAGTCGCCGGATTCCATTAAACAGCTGCTCATGCCTCAAAGCCAGCCAGCTCGCGAACCTTTTAATGTCGAAAGAGATCCCAGCCATGGTCGGGCTACCTTGGGCCGGGGCAGTTGGGAGGGAAGCATTTTCGTCTTCAACGCCACCACACCCGCGGACAACAGCGGAAACAAGGGCCAACCCTGGGTAAAAAATGAATTGGTTCAGCGATTTACCACGACCAAACCACCAGAGCATCTAAGGTGGCGATTCCTTTGTGAGTTTCCAGTTTGGAAACAGCAAATATCAGGAACCCGCTTTATCATGAATGATTTCCTTGCCCTTTCCGTCTCCCTCCCTGGCTTTCATGGGAACAAAAAACCACCTGTTTTGGGCTGATTGAAATTGAAGTGAAACTACCAAAGAAAAGAACAATGGCGCCACTGGAAAATCCCAACGACCCTCAGCTGGCTCGTCTCAAGATAAGGGTTTGCTTTTGGTTTCACTTCAAAGCCAACTTGAAGGGAGATAAGCCCAGGTGCGCCCGGATCCCCTGCCGACCAGAATCATGTCCTTGCACGTACAGGTGACGTGCTTGGAGCTGTTGTAGCTGCCATGTTTGAGTCCTTGCGCAGAGTTCGCGGGGCGCTTGCGTGCAAGCAAGCCAGCCTCTTTGCCGGGCTCTCCTTCCACTTGGGCTCTCCTTCTACTTGTTTGCAAACAACAGAAGAGACGGGCCCTCAAAAGGAGGAAAACCCATCGCAGCGAAAGCAAAAAGGGCTTTCTTTCTGCATGTCGCTTGTCACAAGCGCACTCGAGCAACAAGTTCGAGCAACAAGTTGCCTTAAGAATAGAGCCGGAAGGACTTAAGCCTCCAACCTCCTCCCCGTGTTCCGGGGAAGCGCGCTGCCATTGCGCTACAGCTCCCCAGTAAACAGGTACTTGAGTGCAAAACCTCAAAATGGAGAATGTCAAACGCCGAGCTGACATGATCAGGTGCATCGGCATCATTCATCAGTGCGCATACAGGCTGCGCAATGGGATTTGTGGTTCGCTTTCCAGCACTGAATGTTGTTGCAGAGAACGAGAAAATGTGAGAAGTGGGCTAATGGCTAAACAACAGAATAAACATCGTACTCGATGACATGAGTGTTTCTCGAAATCAGCGGGAATCCATGGCAATCATATCCACCAAAGGGGACATCGGAACGGGCGAGGTGCTTTTTGCTGAACCCTGGCACAGCTCAGTGCCTAGAAGTTTGCTTTGCCACATTGCCACTGAGAACAACTGAGAACTGCTTGATGTCTGGCGAGGCTCAGTGCCAGCTCTTTTCGCTGGAGCTCTAGCTTACAGTGAGGCTGGGTCTTGGGTTGGTTTATCCTTAGTTTAGGCAGGCTTGGGCTGGGGGTAAGAGTGTTCAGGGTCGGTTAAGGGTCATCGGGCTCTTCTCGGGCTTGGGATTTGCTGTAGGCTTTGGGCTTGTCTTTGGCTTGGCGGTTTGGGGCAGCGCTCCAAGAGCCGAGCTCGAAAACCTCGTGGCCGTCGGTTTCGCCTCCTGCAACTCGCAGGGCGCTTCTGAGGTGGTCCTTTCCTGAGGAAAGGCGCGACCCGTGGGGCAGGGGTGGCAGCCAAAAGGCTCAAGTTGATCGTTTCATCACTTGTCAGGCTGCCATGACTACATGTGCTAGCCAAAAAAGCAATGAGCACAAAGGGGCAAGATGCTGGTTTTTCATCTGAGTTGTGAGCTCTCATTTGACGCTCGTCTGGAAATACATGTCTGTTCCTGTTGCCTACAAAGGGGAAAATGCAATGATTCTCAACAGGAAACACCCCTCCAACACTGTCAGGAAAGAACATCACACAAAAGTGTCCTCCGGACAAACACCAGTCAAGTAAGTGTATGAGCAAGCCAGTCAAGTAAGTGTATGAGCAAGAGAGGCAGCGGGATTTAACCACCCAGCGACCACGAGACTATTCATTGATGTGTAAGCTTGACCCCCGATGGACAACTCCCTGTTTAATCACCAGGGTTCCCCGGAAAGAACCGTACCAACTGGGGGGTAGTGGCTCAATGGTCATGTCACCAATTCTTAGCATCCTCCAGCAGCCGAAGCGAAACCCGACGCAAAAGGTGCAGCGTGTAGATGCGGGTCTTCCATTCCAAGGCGAGGTTTCAAGGGCGGTTTGGGCTACTTAGGGGGGCCGAAAAATATGCAGCATTTGTCCTGGATTCCAGCCATACACCCCTGCGAATTCACATGGAACCCAAAAAAAAGGGGTCATGTCTTCTAGATTTCATGATTTTGCGGGGTTCCATATTCGTTTGCAGGGAGTAGGTTAGCTGGTTGGTTTGCAGTCCCTATGGACAGCTTCTGGGCACAAGCAAAGTGAGCCATTGAAACGAGCTCGCCAAATAGGGGGCCATTGAAACTGCGGTTTTGGGCGAACACGAAGTAGCCCAGGGAATCAAAGAGGTACACGTAATCCACGAAGTACCAAAAGAACCCAGTCTCAACGCACAATGGAGAAGGTGCTGATGACCAGGTTGTGGGAGTGACAGTTGAAGAAGATCAGGTTTGGGGAGGTTAGAAATGGGATTGCAAAACAGTAGCTTGAGGGACAGGCCCAAGAACACCTCGACGGCCCACCGAACACCTCCTACCCCCAAAGCGCCGCGGCACCACAAAGCCTTTTGCGGTGACGAAGAGCGATGCCAGGATATGGCGTTCGCACGCGAGTCCGAGGGGAACTTGACGGGAGTTCCCAAAAACTTGAGCCAAACGGCCATTCGGCCGTTTTGCCACATGATGAAACAACACGTGAACAAAACACACCCCCCTCATCCGATATCTGGACGAGAGAAAGGATGCGAGACAGTTGAGTTCACGACGAAAGGGACCAACCAAAAATGCCGGTGTCAACTCAGAGGTGAGCCAAACGGCATCACCTGGGCCCCAGTTAAAATCCCGCCACCACCCCGAATTATCGGGGCGACAGGATTATTTGACGAGTGGACCACATGAGTGAACAAAGACATATTGGAGGAACCAGACGAAGATTCCTCTCGTGCCGTTCATGCGTTGTCATAGGACGACACCATGCGGAGGGGGACCCTATCTGGATCACCGCGCCTCACTGCACGCCGTGGAGTGGTTGGAAGAGTAGTCGAGTTGGGAGGAAATTAGAAACGGAAGTTCCGAAATTGGTGTGAAAATATCCGGCTACGGCCGGCCCGGCACTTCTAGTGCGGTCACAGCCTCACACAGGATCGCCAGGGGAACCGTCTCCGGCGCGCACGGCAGCGGTGCGGGAGGGACACGAGCAACGCCGGATCAGCGGTACAGGGCAATGGAGACCATCACCCCCAGCAGCGCCGCATGGGCGAGAGGAGGACCGGCGCGGTCGCGTTTTTCGGCGACACACGTACTATCCTCGCCCTTCTAAGGCGGATGCTGATTGCGGTACCCGCCTACCACCCTGAACCAGGTTCTTCCCGGTCCCTGGGCACGTCGTCTCTCCGGCGTCCACCACGGTCACCTCGATCACCTCCTCCATCCCGACGGCGATCCTCACCACCACCCCTATTGTGGTCACCAGCCGGAGGTCGGCGAGGCGGAGGGGGATCTGATTGGTGACGTCGGTCATCCCTGCGCCGGTCCCGGTGGCGATCGCGACGGTCATCACCCGGGTCATCACGTCCGCGGCGCTCATCTCGCCCCGGACCGCGCCTCTCGGAGGTCTCCTCATGACGTGGAGGAGGTCGGCGATCATCGCGTCGGCCTCCGCGGGTATCCCTGCCACGATCATCCCTTTGTCGGGGCGGGCCAGGATCCTCGCGTCCACCTTTGCCAGGTCGATGTTTTCCTCGACCCTTCCCCTCACCCTTAGGACCGCGACGATCCTCGCGGGCCCCAAGCGCGGTCCTCGACCGATCGTCATCTCGGCGGGGCCGCGACTCATTTGCCGCACGAGTGGTCCGAGGCACACCCGGGGGAAGCTCCCACTCGTCGTTGTCGTCATCGCGCGGGTCATAGCCGCCATGGCCGCCCAAGGAACCGGTGGCATCCCGTGGTGGGGACGCAGGAGTTCCGGGACCGCCCGATCGAAGACGAACTCGGGGAGTCGCGTCCTCGCCGGTAAAAGGATCCTTCTGGGTGTAGAAACCCTTGGTCCTGCCCCTTCTCTCCCCACCTTCCACACCGCTTCTCGCGGGGACCGGGGATGGACGGGCAGGCTGGGCCATGCTCTTAGAGCTGGGTTGCCCGCTAGGCGGGACCTGAACGCCCCCCTGCCCTTTTTCGGGCGCGGGGACCCGACCACGAGATGTCCTCCTGGCCTTGGGTTGGTCGGACTCACCCTCCAGCTCGGACTCGGTGTCAGGGACACGAGTATTGATGGCCATGTCCTCTTCCTCAAACGGATCCCCAGTCGTTGTAACGCCTGCCGCAATGGGAGCGGGAGGAGGAGGAGGAGGAGTTGGCACAGCATCGCCAGAACTGACGCCTGCATGCGACACCACGGGAGTCTCCGGTTCTACCGGGACAGGCGGCGCAGGAGGAGCCGGGGGCGGTGGCGGAGGGGGAGGGATCTCCTCCTCGTCGTCGCCCATGGGCTCGTCAAGGTCGTCAGGCTTCTCGTCATCTTCGTGCGAAGAACCATCCGATCCCAGCTCATCCTCCGCTGATCCAGCAAAGTCGGGCTCGTCTTCGTCCTTCACGCCGGGGCCTGGTGTAAGGCGAATTCCGGGTCGATGGCGATCGCGGGGTCGGAAGCGGTATTTCCTTGGCACAGGGTCGGACAGCTCCTGTTTGATGTCATCCTGGGTTTGAGGACGGTCGGCCAAGCAGGTGTCGTAGGCAACGGTGGACGTCCGGTGATCAGATCGTCCATACTGCTGAGGTCGTTGAGGGTGTAGACGTACCCCTTCTTAACGCCTTCCCGTATCGTGTCCATAGCCCGTTTGAGGCGCGCGGCAGGATCGAACCCGGCCTTTCTCCGCATGGCCTGCAATATCCCGCAGTGCTGTGCGAGCAGCCCCACCTGGAACTTGAACCCCTCCCCGGACACATCGTTGGGGAGTATCGGAGAAAGGTGTCCTGTTCTCAGCCCAATGATATGGGCCTCAAGAATGTAGTAGGACGTGTAAAAGCCGCACCGGTTGGCGTTGAAGTTTGCGGTGGTTAGGCGTCTGCCCCACTCAGCCGCATATCCCTCATATTCTTCGAAGAATTCGGGGACGGAGCTCCCGTTGAAGGCAAGACCCCTTACCAAGATCGCCTTTGCTACCCACTCTTCCACGTTGTGGTCGACCGTGTCACGGTATTTGCCGTCAAGGACTTCGTCTCGGAGCGAGTCGTGAAGTTTTCGGAAAATGCCATCCACGTCCTCTTTGTCAAGGTACTTAGGAGGCCGCATCCCAGACATCAACAAGGACCGGGCATCGACGGCGGGACTCTGCGAGTAGAGGGCCATTCCGATGGCGTTGGCGTCTGCGTTGTTCCACAGAGCGGGGACGAAGCCCTCGTATTTTGCCAGCCAGGGAGGAATCACCCCGTCGGTGCTCGCTATCGTGCGAGGGCCGCCGTTCGTGTCTCCGGTGGGCAGGACCCTCATAGAAGATGGGAAGGTAGCAGGCGGTGCACAGGTGAGCGCCGACCGGGTGGGCCGTCATGCACCTATGGCATGGAACGGACACCACCTCGCGGATATGTTCCGTCTTGGTGATCTGATGATACTTCTCCATCTCGTCCCGACACTTCCTCGGGTTATCACTCACGGAGTTGAGGAAGTTGGGCGGATAGCACCAAGGCCTCAGGTAAATGATGGAGCAGTCCTCCTTGAAGTAGACGCATCTCCAGTACCCGATCGCGATGTTCTCGCGCGATGCAAAGGTACCCTGACGAGTAATATGCATGCCCCCATTTTCCATGGAGAAGAAACGTGCATCGATAGCCATGACCACATATCGGGGATCGCTCCTTTGGCGTCGACCCGAGGTGTGCAGCTCCGTCACATTGCTGTCGGTGATGCGGTCGACAGTGTCGTTGGGGCATTCTCCGTGATCGCGGAGGGATTGATATTCATCCGGCCGAGAGGGAAGGAGCTCGATCAGAGCTCGCCCACCCCGAATGATCGCCCCACGTTCTACGTAGAGCCGATACATTCGGAGAGGCACCACCTTGTAGAGTGTCTTGGGAACCACCTTGGGGGTGATAGGAAGACAAACAGGGCTCTCGTAGAGCATGTATTGGTATCGTTCACGGAATGCCCGGTAATCAGTGTCGGATCCGATCTCAAGCGACCTTACCGCCGCTATGCGGGCGGAACCAGGCAGCAACCGACGCTCCTTGTCACGAATGACGGTGATGATGATCTCGAACATTCCCACCCCATCTTCGAGAAAGGAAGACAGGAGGTACGAAGAAAAAGCATCCTCAGACTCGACGCTGGTCCCGAAGTAGTGGCTCAGGAACTTCTTCAGTTGTATCACCGAAGTAACGTTCCCTTGCCCGCTGGCAGACGAGGCCTCCAACTCTGGGTCCTTGACTGCACCTGCATTTCCAGGCTGCACAGCTGTTCCACGGAGCGCGT